CCCACCAAAAAACATAGCACCATCAGATTCTACATGTCATAAAGCCCCCGTGTACCAAATTTAGTCTCATACAACAGGGTTCTGATATAAAAAAAAGATTATTCTTAGGGGCTGTAACTCCGAAACAGGGGGCCACTTGGCAAAAATAAAAAATACGGGCCCCCTATATTTGTCTTAAGAATCTGTGACCAAATTTGTTGCATGAATTTTGGGACACCCTGTATAACAAAACAAGAATAATAATTTTTTTTTAATTAATACAAGATCTTTTTACTGACGACACATTTTCCAGATATGTTTGCAATTAACTAATATTGATAAGCAGATATATATATACATTTCTAATCGTAAGTAAAATTAATTTATGTTTACACTTCAATTAATTGTATTCCTAGTTTTTAATAAAAAGTGTTTGTTACTATTTTTTTAAAGCACTGTGTTTAATTTATGAATCTTAGTGTCAATGACTTAATTTAGGTGAACTACATAAAATCAATCCACCTGATGTGATTATGACAACAAGGCACTAGATGGGCAAATAGCAAATGGCCAATGTTAATTTGGAAAAACCGAACAACACACAGACGGATCAAGAAAAATGAGATTAGATGCACACCATTTTTTTATTTATTTATTTTTTGTCATTGGATTACGAATTATGGTAGATTTCCTAACTTCGATATAATGGCTCCAATAGCACCAGTTTTAATTTATTGCCCACTTTTAATGATTTTCAGCAATTTTATGCCATAAATATGCCGACTTGTGACAATTTATTGAACAATCTATTGAGTCAAATTGGTAAAACACAGAATTTTTAATCATTCAATGAGAACTAAAAATTACTTATTAAGTTCATTCTATGCATTATTGTATCCACAAATATATACAAAACAAATTTCCTTTCCCAACCTCCAATATAGTAGCAGAATTGGACAGTGTGAATAATTTTTTTTAACAGAATAGTTGATAGAATATCCATCCTAAAACCCTTAATCACCCTGTATATATATTTACATTGTTGTTAGTATTCGATAACTCAAAATTCAAAAACATTTAGAACATTTAAAAAATTTTAGGGTTAGGATATATTATACACGCATTTTTAACATAGAAACGGATATTATGTTGCAAGCATGAAGTTACATACAAGGTTACGAACGGAAATATTGTAAAAATTTTCCAAGTGTCGAAGCTGTAAATGTTAATTTTTGTGATAAAACTTGTTATTCCCTCGTTATAATTTATTTTAAACATAAATCCAATTTGAACCTAAACTGGGACACGATTACGAAACAAGGTAAATGCTAAATCTAATCAAAACAAATGAAATCTACTATAAATTGAATTATGGGATGAAAATCAACTCGAGTGCACATCGTACTCAATCCAGTTCCAGTATAAACTGGACTTGTGTAAAAATTTTAATAATACACGAATTATTTCAGTATACAAGTTCCATCACTGTAAGATTTGCAGATTCAAAGGAGGGTAATTGTGGTTAAGAGCAGTGTCCATCGTGCATATGATTATTTGAAAAAAAAAAGTTAAGTACCTCGAAGAAGCAATACACTCCGTCTACAACGTACCAGGGCAAACTATCATCCACGATTTCTACATCACTAGAAAAACGGGATAATATTCGTCCGAGAGGGGTGGTATCGAAAAATAACATGGGGGAACGGAAAACGCCACTAATTAACAATTGATGTAAGCTAATTGCCGCGGCAAGACAGCCCAAATTCGGTGCCAGCTCGGCAAATACAGTCGACAGAGCTGTAAAAATGTTTTGGTTAATTAGTGTGGGAATATTTTGTACAATAAGCTGGTGCAGATACGCATTTGAAATCTCGCTTTGTTAACAACTATGGCTTGGTTAGTAGTGCTAAGCGGGTGTATTTAAAAATGTAGCGATGGAAAACGGTGCCTAATAACATAAGTAGTGGATTAATCACTTAGGAGTACGTGGTTTTTTTAATAATTTTTAATTACGATTGTATTCTATAAATCCACTATTGCAGAAAACAGCTAAATGAGTCTACTGTCACTATAAACTACACAGATGCAAGCTTGTGAATTATTTTAAAAAATCAGAGACTTGTTACGTACATATCACGACGCTTCCTGACTAATTTTATGTCCTAAGAACTCATTCGGGGATAATTACGTTCATGATTAAAAAAATTAACGAAAGTAGTTCAAACGTACCAATTTGTTAGCAAACCTAGATATGTTTGCCCCGAAGATAAATTTCCTCAACCTGACATTTCTTTATACAAAACGACGCCTATAAGAATATGAAAATACTACCAATTAAAAACTCGCTATCCAAAAATCCAGAGAGAAGATATTTCCTCACAAATGTGTAAATGTCAAATATGTCAAGGCATAGTTTGTGTGTAATAGTCAGATAATCACTTAGAAGTGAAAATACTAATTGCAACTTCTCAATAAAATCGAAGATTTCACGAGAAAGTCGCCATCGAGTATTTTCAGCCGTAAGATTAACTGGTTATTTATATTACAATCGTACGTTTAAATGTATGTAAATATAATACTCTATATTTGTTAGATTAGTATAAAGGACAAAGTGTTTGTAGATATATTGAGAAAAACTATCAAAAGCCAATAAAACAATTCATGGAGTTTTTGAAATACAAAATTCAAAACATTTTAAAGAATTAATTCATATTTTTAGCAGCGTATTTCAAAGATACCATGCGGTACTTATGATATGACTGCATTTTGAAAACCATAACCATCCCAAAAAGAATAAACTATGGTACCGATGACAATTTTTCAGTGTATGTGATGTAACACAAAACATATTGACAACAAATATTTCCCCTTGATAAAATAGAACTCAAGCAAAATAAGAATTTAAAAAAATAAATAAAAACATACCCTTATGGTGTTTTGTATCAAAACCTGAAAATTACTGGGTAATCTTATATCGACACCGTTTATATCATTTGAAAACCTCGCCAATATGCGTCCCATTGGTGTGATGTCGAAAAATCCGGATGGTAATCTCATAACGTTACTCAACAAAAATCTGTGAATTTTTATTGCCCCGTCTAAGGTAGCTTTAGTGAATATTAAATTGGTAAATATTATGCAGATTACTGGAAACAAAATAATTGTTAGAGTGTATTTTATTGGAAAATTAACTGTGTGGCTGGGAGAAATAAAGAAAAATTCAATGCTAAGGTAAATAAAAATGTTTAAAAATGAGAAATAAAAATGTAGGAAACTCATTTTTAAATATAACTGCTGACAAATTCAATTTTAACTTACAATAAATGAACTCTCTATTACTTCGTAACAATTAAACGGAAGCTCGACATCGATATCAGACAAATCCTTAGAAAATCGACTCAATATCCTACCAACTGGAATCATTTCAAAAAAATACATAGGCTGACGCAAGACACTTATTAGAAGAACTTTGTGAATTTCATTCGCTGCGTTCAACGATGCAATGGTTAGATTCACTTCGGACGAACACACAGAAATAGCTACAAATGTTAACATTTATAAATATTACAGTGCAGGCAAAGCAAAGAACATGAATTATACAAACAGAACAAAAAAAATCTACTCTTCTTGAAAAAGCATAAGAAAGAAAACAGGTCAACGAAAACAGAAAAATTTTAAATATTTTTTGCACACATATTTGAAACGTGCCGCAGAGAAAGAATTATTATTCAATATGTCAATTCAAGTCATGATAAATGACAGAAAATTTAATCAGTAAAAGTTGCTCTTATAATAATTTACACTTGAATTTGAAAAATTGTTATGTGCATGTGCATTTTAAGCCAATTGTATGAAGCTAACGGAGTGGCAGACAACAAAACTTGCAACAAAAATAATTTTGTGAAAACAGATTACTTTGGTACAACTTCGTGACAAGTTATTTTAAACTCACCATATTCTTTTTTGTCAATGCGGACAACAATGCCGAGTGTTTTTAAGAAATTAATATCGTTTGCTTCATAAAAATACTTAATAATCCGATAGATTTTGACATCTTTTAAAATTATTTCAAGTTTTTAATAAAAATTATTTATTACTTATTCTTTATAGCACTGTGTTTAGTTTGTGAATTTCTTTGTTAATAACCTCCAACACTGATCTTGGTGAACTACATATCAATCCACCTGATGAGGTGATAGATATGATAGATATGAAAAAGGATGACTATATCACCACATCATCATAAGAGGTGTTTGTAATACGGCAGGTAATTTTACGTCTTTCTGCATGAAATACTGGTTTTCTCAATGATTTATACCATTACAGATGCTCAGCAATATAAACTGTTTCTATGTCACCGACAAAGACCGTAGTAACTTTTTTTATTTAAGGAGGTATCTATGATATAAAAAAGCTAAAAAACTCACGTTTACATGACGGAATTTGTAAACCTGGTATGCGTTTTACACAATCAAAGTAATCTCAGTATAAATACGATCCACATTCAAAGTTACCCCCTGTTTCCTTTTATCTATCACCGACATCAGTACTCAATTAGAAACGACCCACAACAAATTTTCAATTGTCGTCCACTCACAGTTAGACGAGCATGCACACACTATACAGCTTGATCCATGAAAATGAACCAGTAAGTTTCATGCTAGTCATTTTCGGAAAATTTAGGTCTCTGTGGATTGGAATGCAAGCTTCCCAATAAATGCTATTCCAAGAATTTTTCGTTTCCCAAAAATTTTTGAAAATATAATCATTAGAAAGCTCACATTCAATGACATGAGCCCGAACTTCAAAAACTGTCACTACAACCAGTCCAGATACATGAATCGCTCTGCATAATGAAGTAAACTTTTTATAAACACAAAATAAACGTTGAAAATTATCGCAGACAGCAAATATCTTAAATTTTTACGTGTTAAACTATTTTTATGTAAACGGATGTCGGTTACGCCTTATTAATTGTTAATATAACTGCTTTGAGTAAGTTATCTGATAAATGAACTAACCGCATAGAAACAAGTGATCCAACCTCGCAACGTCATCGGTAAAACGGTATCCAAAGTGTCAATGTCTTTCGAAAATCTATTTAAGATCCGTCCTACCGGCGTGACATCGTAAAACGTTGTGGACGGCACTCGCATTATATTCGAAAGTATTACGTTGTGCAGAAGCCTCGCTGCGTTCAACGATCCTATGAAAAGTGCGAGTGTCGCCAGAAAAATCACAATAACTGAAAACCGAGAAAAAATTTAAATTGTATCACAAAAATGTTAATAAAAACAAAAAGCAAAATATGTTGAAATACAAGTAGTGTAAAGCAAAGCGTAATAAAAGCAACGAAGCAAATAAATTAAAAGTACCATCTCAAGTTCATTTCCTGTAAAAGCTGTTCTAATCGTGTTAGGTGTTATTAAAGCACGTTATTATTAAAAGCTGTAGGGAGATACAAAACTGGTTAGTGTTATCGTACAAAACCGTGTCAAAATAGTCTTTAATGAAGGCAGCAGTTATAGAGACATTCAGAGTTAAGATATTTCAACTGTAACATAACACAAGATATTAATGCAAAAAAATGTACATAATACCGTATTTGCATTAAAAACTGATTAGTTCTTATTAATAATTTGGCTAACTAAATTACTAAACTCATGTATATGTCTAAAAATTAAGAGATTTGTTTGTAATACGAAAATAAATTATCGGGACTGAAATAACCATAAAAGTTAACAGAACATAGCTATACATAATACAATAAGTAAATAGATAATATATACAAAGAAGACACTTTAAATTAGCACCTATTCTTTAACCATTATCATAATTAGCTCAAATTAGTTAGACTTCTTTTCTGCCAAGTCCCAAATTATTAATAGTAAATAAATAAAGACCAAAATAAATCGTAAATAAATAATTCTGCAAATAATAAGTAAGTTAGTATATAGGATGATTCAAAAATTAAAAACAAGTGTAAGTATAATCCTTTGCAAATACAGGATTCTCACAAAACAAAAACACCTTTTCGTCAAAAGAAATAAACCCGATATATTTAATATAACTGCGTCGTTATATGTTTATACAGTTAAACAACTTGCCAAACTTTAGATATAAGAATTAAAAAACAAGATAGCGGCACTCCCAAATAATCCCCGTCAGCCATTTTCTTAAATAAAACTGAGAGGAATTTTTTGATAGTGTTTCTTGTGTTTCATTCTTAAGTTTCAGACGTCTTTTAACTGTAAATATATAAACAAAGGTAAGGTAAATATAATTAATTTAAAACCACTGAATAAATCGCATTTGGACAATTTAAAATTAACACAAGTGTAATACTCCAGTCGAATTAGAGTTTGAACGCGAAAAAATTATTAGTAGACATTTTATTGCATTTTATGATGGACAATTGACAATAATTGACATGTAGAATGATAATATCAAAAAAATAACTCGAAAGAAGTGACGATAAGTTGGCAAATTGCAAATAAGTTGCAAATTTACATGCCTTTTTCATTTTTTTACTGCCCACGTTAATCTAGGCAACCTATCTAATCGGAATATTAATTATTTTATGTTGTAGACAATTAAATTACCTATAATTACCTAAAGTAATTTTTCACCAATTGTAAAATAAAGAATGAAAGCGGAAATATCAGTTTTCCAAAATTTCGCATTGTTATTGCAAAAGGTGATGGATTATGATGAAATTTATGGAAAAGACGGTCAATTCAAAAACCAACTAGCTATTTGTTAACCAATGACGTTTGTTTTTTTTGCAACTAATTGTTTAATTACTAAATGCTAATTTTTAGAAGTTAATATTGTAGATAAGATTAATCCAAAGAAACGTATCGAAAAAGAAACATTCCAAAAAGTTGAAATTAAGTAGCCCTTTCCAACAAACAAAGTAGAACGTGCAAAACAGCATTATAAACAAATTGTCCAAGGGTTAGGTAAAAGCTGCTCGGGAATTCGCTCTTTTTGCATTAAATAAACTTTATTTTTACGGCAATTTAAAAAAAAGAAAATTACCTACGCCTCCTTGTTCACAACATAGCTTAATTAACTATTGGACGTATCGTACTGGGATTTTAAAGACGATTAAAGAAAGGGTTAAACTTTTATTTCCAAAAAGTTTTACATTTATAGTTCATATGCTTTCAGGCCATTCATTAACACTAACTTCTATTGCTGCTAGCCCGTTTATTACATGAACTATGAATGTAAAATTTCTGAAAAAAAAAAGTTTAACCCTTTCGTTGTCTGTAAAATCTCGGTTCGAAACGTCCACACAAGGTATCTTGTGAACAAAGAGGCGTAAGTGACTTCTCTTTTTTTTTAAATTACCGTAAAAATAAGCTTTATTTAATGCAAAAAGAGCAAATTCCCGAGCGGCTTTTGCCTAACCCTTAAACAATTTGTTTATAACGCTGTTTTGCACATCTTATTTTGTTGTAAGTCTACTTAATTTCAACTTTTTGAACTTTTTCTTATTCGATACGTTTCTTTGGATCAATTGGAACCTATATCTACGAGATTAACTTCTAAAATTAACGTTTAGTAATAAAACAATTACTTGCAAAAAAACAAACGAATTTAATTAACAAATAGCTGGAACAACAATTTCTCGGTCAGTTGAATCGGCGTTTGGCACATATTGCCATTGGATTGACCATCTTTTCCATAAATTTTAACAACATCTCTCCGTATAAAGTGTTTTTTTTTTTAGGTTTTATGATCTAATTCGACTGGAACATAAGTCTTTAATTCACAGTAGTCATTATTAAGATTAGGATTTTCTAATCTTTTAAGAGTGTCATATTCGTAGTCATATAAAATAGATCTGGCGAAACTAGAATGGTGGAATATATTTATATTGGTTTACGAGAAGGTACATATTTTTAATATAATAGGTACTATCGCGTCTTTTTGGGATGACTGTAAGGTGTGTTTGTGTATCTTCACTGTCAAATTTCTGCGATATGAAAAAACATTATATTACTCAAGATTTGACAACAATGCATGGCATATCAGTATAAATATGATTCTTATCAAACTTACACCATATATACTGTGAATTAAAGACCATAAGTTTAAGACGTTAATTTTTCAATCATCCCATGAACATGCTTGCTAAGAAACGAAAAACCAAACATCTACCAAGTAAAAACGAAAAGTACTATTTATGTAAACGTCACTTACCTTGGCCGATTCCGAGAGCCCCGTACACTCCGAGGTACAAATCCCTTCTCGCCGTATTCACAGTTCCATTCACATTAAGGGAACTGTCATTGGCCCACACCCCTAACCAGACATTCGAACCGATACTAAAACCTTGAAATACCATGTTTAACAAAATGGTAGCAAAAGTTAAAAATAGCCCAATTGATTTCAGATAGTGCTTATACACGTCCCAACTAACGCTGCCGGTCTCCGCCTTCTCTATCTCTATAAGCTTCCCTTTAGGGGAATCGTTCTTGGACTCTTCTATCGAACCGGCCCTGCGCCGTAAGCTTTTGTCGGTGCTGTCGCTAGATTTCTGACGTTGGAGGGACCCGTTAAGGATGCGGTCAGACCCACATTCGGAATGGGATTCGGAGACCCTCGAGCGATGTCGGCTCAACCGTCTCGTTACTTCTTCGGATAAGGCCGTGCCGACCAGCTGGTCCTTTATTTCATCCAAGTCTACAAAAAACTACATGATGTATCTCTGGCAGAACTAAGTATTTAAAAAACTAAAGCAGACGTGAGCCATTGCCACCTATAATATAAAGCCTTACAGAGTTGAAGATTTAATCATGAATGACAGAAGTCGAGACGTGATCGTAAATCGTAAATTTGAGGTTATGTGGAGGAGGCAAGTCTTGAGTCGGGTCGGTACTTTGAGATAACCGCTGTGTAATAAAGAAGCAGTGTGTCTTTCACCTGCTGTGTGGTTCTTTCGAATGAGCCGGTAAAACGGACCCAAAATTATGTTTTTAGGTTTCCAAGAAATGAAGGTTTGTACAAGATGTGTTCAGCAATTTTTCATGATTACGTTACCAAGCGACGTATATATCACCACAGAACTGATGTCACATGCGAAACATTGAGGCTTTATAATATAGGTGGTAATATACGACCACGTAATTATCAAATGCTGTTAAGAACTAACCGTATTAATTTCTGGTGAAATATGGGGTTAGGTTTTACAACGCATGATACATATTGATCCGTGTGTCATGCATCTGAGGCGAGTGATGTTTATTGATAAAATTCTATTCATAGTTTGAAAATGAAATATGTGAAGTTTAATTCCTTATTATTAGATGTCGAGATCCTGTTTTAGCAAAATGCAAAATGGGTTCATTCCAACAGACTACTATCAAAGACTATAAAATCTAATAACTACCATTTCATCGTAACACTATCTAATAATAAAAATTTTATCCGTTTATGCAGTTTGTATACAAAATAATAAATGATATGAAATTCCTTATAAATGCAACTCTACGTACAGTTCAACGAATTTCACTTGGCCAAATCATGATTAATAAATATAATTTTTCAATTTTGCCTCCCGCTTAGGGAGTATGTGAAATTTGTCGATCCTGCAATTCATTTAAACACGTTCCAAAAGGAAACTACTAAAAATGAATATAGGAAAAGGGGTGCAGAAAAGAGGTGTATTATTATGACGTGAATAAAAAATATATTAACACATTCTACTTTTTTAGTTGCAGGAATTTGAGCAAGATTCGACTCTAACGCAAACGAATTACATACCAGTTTTAATTTGCTTTCCAAGACCTACAAGAACGAATTTGTTAGATGTTAAAAAATAAATATAACGAAGAATTTCTTTTGTCTTACAACCCTAGGGAGGGACTGTATCATCCAGTTTGTTTTCAAAGCAGCTACACTGAAGTTTATTATAATTTTTAAAACACCCTGTACGTTTGCTAGGTTAATCATTATAGAAATATCCAATAGTCTTTGTATGTACATGGTGGATTGATGTTTACACTTTAGAAGGGTTTAATGTATTTTCTGAGGATATACAAGAAGTAGTTCAAATGTCCCAAGCTGGCTATTTTCTGTAGTATGGATAACTATTTATAAAAATGTTTTGACTTTTGTAAATATATGAATTTTCTATTGTTTTTTACCTAAAATCCAGTGGAGTACAGATATTTTCATGGGGAAAATTTTAAGAACTGAAAAATTGCTGCTGAAATAATAAGTCCTTCCTAGAGATGTCAGACTTTCATTGTCTAAGTAACTATTATATATGATTTATTTAACAGCTATACTATAATTATCCTACAACATATGATATGCTTCATCGCTGTTTAATTAATTAATTATTCGGATAGAGAAATTTAAAATAGTCAAACACATATTTTTTTAAATGTGATCAAATCAACAAATTTTATATTTATAATTAATTTTTTTTGTAAACTTTTTAAATTAATTTGTAAAAAAACGCAGAATGTTTGTAAGCAAATCAAACTTACCATCATCCGTATCCACATCTTCCGTGATATGTTGCAATAGAAACTCGGCAAAAGCACCTTTCTTGTCCAACAACTCTTGATAGGTGCCACTCTCCGACACCTCGCCATCTTTTATCACGATTATGGAATCAGTTTGCGGCAAATATGTGATGCCGTGAGTTACCAGTACTTTCGTTTTGTAGCGCAACATTCCCTTAGGCCCTATAACTTTATCGAATATGTGTTTACCGACGTGGCTGTCCACCGCACTCAAAGGATCATCCAAAAAGTAGATATCTGCATCAGAGTACACGGCTCTGGCCAAACTAACCCTCTGCTTTTGCCCGCCAGACAAATTTATACCCTTCTCGCCTATTTCCGTCTGGTCCCCACCCGGCAGCATTTCAAAATCGGCTTTAAGGGCACACATTTCGATAACTTTGTTATATAGAACTTTGTCGAATTTCTTCCCGAATAAAATGTTATCTTTCAACGTGGCGTTTTGGATCCAGGCTTGTTGCGAGACGTACGCGATCCTACCCACCGTGTTCACCCTGCCGGACACTTTATCCATCTCTCCCAAAAAGGCCGATATTAAACTGGATTTTCCAGAACCGACAGTGCCTACGACGGCGGTCAGGGTTTGTTTCTTCAAACGAATATTGATGTTCTTGAGAATGGGATCGTCGCCCCAAGAAAATGTCCCCTTCTCGATAATTAAAGGATCCGCTACAAAAAGGAAAATATTTTTAGTGAAAAACTCTATAAATAGGATAAAGAGCGTTTACCTTCAAACGAATCGTGTGTTACGTTATTTGGGTCCAATTCTTCCGAATTCATAAACCTATTGATTCTTTTTACCGAGACGTACGTCTAAAGATTGGAAGATATTAGAAAGTTGCATTGAAAACATATTATTCCTTATTCTTTCAAAGGTCCGATTAACAGTTTATGTTTGTAGCAATCAAGCTACACAGAAACATAAGGAATAATATCGTCAATAATAATACTTAATTGGTGCTACCGGAAAAGAAAAAATATGCCTCAAGTTTTAATAATGATAATTGATTTACTTGTTAAAAAAATATAAAGCTTAGATTGTGACAAATTTTGTATTTATTTTTCCTTTTCCAGAATCCACCAATGAAAACTAAAGCAAAATTTAAAACCAAACCACCTACTAATATCGAAACAGATAATAGATAAAACAAAATTTATCGTCAATAACAAACATTCTTATCTTGAATAGACAGGGTGTAATTTTAAATGGGGGTCAAATATTTAGGGGTAATTTATATTTGAAGTCGTTTGAATAAAGACGGTTTAGGCGCCGTGACTACCATAGGCAAAATTATTTGTTTAAAATAGTAGTGTCAATCTAAGAGTGTTTAATTTAAAATGAGCTCGGAAAGTGAAGACGAACATTTACCAGCAGCGCAAAGTGCTGTTTCACAATTAATCTCCAAAAAATCGTCGAGATAGTACGAGATTGACTACAACGAATTCAATGGGTGGTGTAGTTTGAAGAAAATTAAAAAAGTGTCCGAAGCAGTCTTACTGGCATATTTCGAACATAAAATTAAAAAAATTAATCCTTTGACGTTATGGTCAGTATATTTAATGTTAAAAAGTACACTGAATGCCAAAAAAAAATGTAAATATCAAATTTCCAAAGTTGAAAATTGCGGCTACAAAAAATTCAATTTTCAAAACGGAATACTAAAAATATGACCACTCGCTCAAAGTTACACCCTGTAGAACGCTACAATGATTACGCTTCTTTATTAGTAGTAGGAGATTTTAGATTTCTTTACTTCGGTACTAATTTTACTACTGAAACCATACTGATAAACATGTAACGTAACCTGGCAATATTTACAAAATATTAAAAAGTTTTTCCCAAGCTAGAGCCATGGTACAATGGTATGACTAAATAAACTACACCTGAAATTGTGCTGATCATGTTAATAAGCAATAACGAAGTATTAAATACCTTATGTATGTATTAATAAATTATATCAATGGAGCAGTTTGAAGAAAAACTTTTTTTTTTTCAAACTAAAATGTCGGCTTACTTGTACTAAGTTCGATATCATCATGGGTAACATGCTCATCGGAAACCTTAATATATTGAAGAGAGAGATAGATACATAGGCCTTATTCGCATCAAGAACGTTATTCTCATCCACCAATACGAAGGTAGCAAAGGTGACAAGAGAGACCTAGAGCATGCACAAGAGACTTAGCTATATCCTCCGTCAATGGCTTATAAAACTATAATGATGATCGGGTTAACAGTAAACATCACCACATTACTGAGAAAGGTATGCTTCCCATTAAAGATATTAACCCATACAGGGTGTCAGATTTGATATGAATTAATATTTTATCACAACGCAGCTATAAAAAAATCAGACAACCTGTATGGGTACATTATAGGAGAGTTACTACTATCAATGCCCACCGTAAAGCGATGAATGTGATATAGTAAATAGTAGTTATCCGTTTTTTTGTTCTCTTTTATTACCTCAACGATGTATACCAGCAACAAGGGCAACAGCGACATCGGTATGCGCATTATCGCAAATAAAGTCAGCGATTTAAACGTTAGCTCGAGAGTCAAAACGTTACTGGAATCGCTGTAGACGAACATTATAAACGTGACCAGTGTCACCTAAACAAAAGTTTGTTCAGTATACATACGAAAAATTATCCTAACTACTTCAACTAATTTGTTTGATTTGCACAGAACAGTAAAAAAATTATGATACTTTCAGGGATTTTTTTGAAAAGAGTTGTAAACAATTAAAAACTACCCTTTTTCTAAGCAACAAAACACAAACAACTTAAATATTTAAGTGATCTAGCTGTTCTGGGATTAGATGGATCACCAGAATGGAAAGCTTTCACTGATTTTAACCTCAAACAAAGTGGCTTTAATTAATATTAAAGATTTGTGTTCTGTTACGTATCAGGTTGAGAAAGTTGAGTGCCATCATATATTTTGTACTACTTTTCGCACAAAACAATTGAAAACAACAAAATGACAAGATAAATTATATATTTTAAACAAATTATTAGAAAATAATTTAAAAAAATGGGAAATGGCCCTGTTCTAACTGATACAATACAAAGAACAGGTATATTTAAGTGATCTAACTGTTCTGACGTCACCTGAGAGAGATGGTTCACTAGAATGGAAAGCTTTCACTGGTCCTAACCTTAAATGGGCATAACTTTGAAAATTTAAAAGATTTGTGTCTTGTCTCATTATTAGCTAGAAAAAGTTGACTATCTTCCTATATTTTGTACCTTTTTTAGAGAAAGTTGAATTCCATCACAAATTTTGTACCTGTTTTTGTACAGTGATAGAAAATCAAAAAATTGATGAAATACATAAAATATTTAAAATAAATCTTTTGGATATTAAAAATCTTTCAAATTATTTATAAAATATAAAAATATTTTTCCTTAAAGGCCATTAAATTAAAAACAAAACATTTTCAGCTGACTGTAACATTGCGATAAAGTTAAATGGGAAAAAAAATTATGAACTTACCAAGAACGGAGCACACGACCAAATAAAGGACGTGCCAGCATTTAAATAAGCCGCCGATTTCAAAACCTTTATCTCCTTGTTCCGTATCTTCAACACCTGATTTTCAAAACTGGGCTCCCACGCATACAACTTCAGGACCTTAATTCCGCTCAAAATCTCGTTCATCAGTTTCACACGTTCGTCCTTATTCTTCATCTGCTTAATCTGTAAGGTCTTAACTTTGTTTGCAATGAATCCGTTCACGGGAATCAGAATAATCATCACAGCTAATCCGGCAAGCACTGACGGGCCCAACTCGTACCACAAGAAGTACAGAGACAAGATAATTTGAAGGGGCGCCGACCATATCATGTTTAGAAAGGCCGTAAGCTCGATAAATTTTTGGGCGTCCACAGACATCAAGTTAACGATTTCTCCCACCGTAGTTTCTTTACGGGCGCTGTTGGATATTTTCAACGATTTTCTATAAATCGTGGAGATCAAAGCTGTTCGGATCCTCATTCCGACTATGAACATTCTATTGAAGTACTGCGCCAATAGTAGAGTTTGTATAGTGGCCGTTATAAAAAGCAACGCTGTGAAAAAATAACCCCTCCATTCGTATTGTCCCTTTCTCACGTAAGTAATAATATATCTAAAAGGAAAATCGATTTAATTGAAAGCAAATGGGCCTAACAAAGTCTTACCCTAAAATTTGGGGGCTCACGAAAGTCAAAATGTCCTGCATTAGTTTCAGTAATGCCCCGAATGCGAACGTGGGGCCGAAAGATTTCACTAAAGCTGGCAAAACGGATGCCTCTTTTTTCTTCTTGCTATTAACAAAAGCTACGTGGTCAACATCGGACTTAAATTGCGCATTTTGGGTGGGGGAGTAACTGTAAAGGAGTAGTTCGATTTTTTATCTTATTATTAAATTCAAAGCAGTGAAGCACGAGGCAGCTCTACAACGTAACAGATGGGGATTTAAAAAAGTTGCTCCTTCGAAACGCGAGATATATTACCAGCAATTTCTGAGAAGAAACCCCTAAAGTGATACTTTTTGAAGAAACAACTTCTTTGAACAATGCGAACAACGCCTGGAAGCTTTAAAAACATTGCAAAATGTAAAAAAAATGATTAAACTGTATATTTAACCAATACCATGAAGCTATAAACAAAGTATTTCTAGGCTGTAATAAAAAAAATTTTAATAAATTTAAAATAAAAGATCTAAAAGCAAATGTTTTAAAAAACGTATGAAAAAAACAGACTAAATGAAAAATATACAGTGTTAGAAACTAAACAATTAACTGTCTTTACATTTTATAAATTTATTAATTTTCACAATAATTGTTTAACTTTGGATATTTCGTCATTCACTATAAAAAAAATGTTGTAAACTTACATCCACGTAGTAGACAATCTTTTTGTTAATTTTTATTTAATTTATATTTTGTCCAAGAAATGACAAATTTCTGACACACTGCTATTTACATGTATCGAATTCACACAAAAATGAGGCGAAAAATGAAGTTATAAAAACAAGCACTCCACAAACACTAACCTTCCACTTTTGTCCAACGTGTTCTGCCAGTGCTTCTCAAATAACGGTACGATTTCCTTGGCTGAATCTTCGGGCTTCATATCCCACAAATCCGTCGCTTCCAAAGGTTTCCGAAAGCCGGTCCAAGCCAGAGAATCGAACCAAGTGAACAATAGGCGTGACAAGAAGCTGGCATTTTCTTCCGGGCAAGGTCTCTAAATCACAAAGGAACATTAGTCCCTTCTTTAATAAACCGTTAACGGAAAGCTACCTCAGACTTAGGATATTTCGATTCTCGAGGTGGTTTGTCTGCAAAACAGTTGAGGAGGAACATCAGCAAAACCAGCGGGTAATAAATCAGGTAACTGATGTAAAAATATTTGGATCCCGGAGGAATTTCACTCCTCTGGGCCCGTCTAATCTCAGATCGAAACTGAACAGCGCCGCATACCCCCAGCAAAAGCCAGAAGAGGAATAGCAGCCCTGAAGACGGCATGCCATGTTTCCTGTTGTATACGACAAGAAGTGCAGAAAGGGCCTAAAAATTAATCTGTTTTATTAAAGTCAACAACACCATCAAAATTTACAATTATTTTTTTTTACTAAAATGCAAGCGAAATGAAAATGTTTATAAATTATATATTGTGTCATTCGTAAGAAACATTTTCAAATTTTTTTGCTCTGCATTTGGAAAAATTGAGGACTTTTACATGACCATCTAAACAAAGAACCCGCTTTTACTTTAAAATAGATTATAATTATCTGCACTTATAGAAGCCTTAATACTACAAATAAAAAACAAATGAAGTTCAAATAATGTGTACAATCCTGTACGTTTTTGCAAAAATCACATTATTTTTAATTTTTTTTTAGAAATGTAACAATTTCATGCAGGTAGTTCTACTATTTTATTTTTTATTCACTTAATTTTTTCGGAACTACTTATTGCCGAAATAACGATAATTTTGCATAAATTGTAGTAGGCCGTCACAGGGTTACCAACCCATTTTAAGAAAAAAAAAGACAGCTTTTGAAATTTCTTTAAATGGACATATTTTTTATCTAAATATATTTAGATGGATTTTTAAATTTTTAATTTAAATTTTAAATTTTTCAATAATTTATCTGCATATGGTACAAATCAACATAAAATACGCACACATACAGGGTGATTCACTGCTTATCCCAAAAAATTTGGGAATATATGTGGCATGAGACATGGACTCAATATCGTAAAACAAAATTGTAAAATCCTTATAGTTTCCGAAAAAAAGAATTGTTGAACTTGTAGTACATTCAACCATTACATATCTGGTCAACTGTAGTCTCTAGCGTCATTCGCAATACGCGTGGGAGCCACGTGGCCTCAGCGACTCCGAATACTGAAATCCGATTTTACAATCCTCGTTGCGTTAGTGTTTACCTGTTATTTCTCCCAAGAACTGCAAGTCATTCCAGACGAGCAGTTCGCCTTCCGACCCAATCACTCCACTGAACTCCAAATCCTTCGCCTTACCGAGCACATCACGGCGGCCTTCAACAGGGGACAGTACACTGGTGCTGTCTTCCTGGACGTCGCAAAGGCCTTCGATACGGTTTGGCATGAAGGCCTACTGATGAAAATGCTCACCAACCAATATCCCATATCCTTTACCAAACTCATAAAATCCTACCTACACCACCGAAAATTCCGCATCCAAATCCAAGATTCCCTTTCCACCACCCGTCCCATGGAGGCCGGTGTCCCCCAGGGCACCGTCCTGTCCCCACACCTATACACCATTTACAACTCCGACATCCCACATCCCCCCAACACCAACATATACTTATACGCCGACGACCTGACAATCACATCCCAATCCGTAGATCCTAGATATTCCGTCTACCTCCTCCAAAGCTCCTTAGACCAACTTGAAACCTGGTGCAACAGGTGGAAAGTCAAAATTAATCCCAACAAAAGTTCGGCTATCCTTTTTACCAAACGAAAAATCCCACAAAACCTTGACAGACTGACACTATCCCAGGAACCCATCTCCTGGAATCGACAAACACGATACCTGGGCGTGACGATGGACCAGCGTCTCACGTGGAAACCGCACATCGTGGAGACGGTGGCGCGAGCGAAGACCACCAGGGCTAGGCTCTATCCCTTACTCAAAGGTGGAAACACCCTCAGTTTAAGGAATAAGCGAACGCTTATCAAGGTGGTACTTCAACCGCAGCTAACCTACGCCTCCACGGCGTGGGGTCACGCGGCAAAAAGCCACTTAAAGTCATTACAGGCTGTGGAAAACATAGCCCTCCGCACGGCCACCGACGCGCCCTGGTACGTAAGAAACACTGACATATTACGAGACTTACAATACACAAACGCTACACAGACAATAAGACAAAACGCGGAGAAACGATTTGACGTAGCCGCTAGACATGACAATCCCCTCCTCAGGCAAGCCGTTGACTACGTACCCGACGTGACCGACAAACACAAAAGACCTAGACACCAACTTTTTGACCCTGGGTGACCACCCCAATGACCCCCCCCCTGCCCGCTAACCTTTTCTGTTTCAGAGACAGCCAGGATCAAGAAACGAAGACAACGACACACACACACACACACACACACACCCCCCATACCCTCCTTAACCCTCCCCTCCCGCGCTAGCCTAAGGGCCACCTTAGCAAAGCGCATCCCAGGCTGCATAGCCGCACTACCCTACCCAACCATACCACACATAAACATGACACTACCCCCGGGGTTTACACAGACGAGCCGGCGAAGCAAGAAGAGCGCCAGAAGAAAGGGCCCTAGCCGGCGGGGCCCAGCCAGGACAAAAGGAGGTCCCACAAAGCGCCTACACCGGCCGCATTTGCGGTCGGGGTAGACGACGGATGGGGCCCACCTACGAAGGCTGTCCAGGCCTACACGAGATGAGGCAGGATAAAGAGGGATAATCCCCCTCGATCCCAAATCATTGAGGCCAATTTCTAGCCATAGAATAATGGCGCGTACCTGTTATTTGTGGTGTTTACAATAGTTTTTTAGTAGTTAGTGTCAAAAATGGCTTGCATGTTTAGCAACTCGTAGTTGATGGATATTGTTTTAATTTATGGTGAAGCTAGACAACATTTTGTATTATGGTGAAGCATTTGTGTTATGGTGAAGCAAGACAACATTTGTGTTAATTCATAGAAACTGAGTAAACAGTTGAATTAGCTGATATAAAATAGGTGCTATAAAATTATATTTATTTCTTTAACAAATATAACTTCATGAAAATTAAAATAAAAATAATATAGATAACGAGCGTTCAAATAAAAACGTGGTCGAAGTTGGCTCTGACACATTGGACGTAGGGAGTAGCTTATAGCGACCAACTTAACCTCATTTCTCAACGAGCTGTATAGCAGCTGTCAGTTTCAATAACGTTAATGACTATATAACTTTATTTTAAAGAATAATCGTGATAACAATAACAAACAATTAAAGGAGCTGCGGAAAGTGTCCCCCTCCTTGTTATAACAATAAATTAAAGCAGCTGCTGAAAGTGTCCCCCTCCTTGTTCCAAGCACTTTTCACACCTGTTCCTCAAAGAATTAAAGACATTTTCTAAGATGCTCGGGGTATTGTTAATTTCACGAATCTTGTCTATAAGTCGAGCCTGCAGATGGTTTAAATCAGGAATAGGCAGTTCAAAAATAGTGTTTTTAAGGTAAGGCCACAAAAAGAAATCACACGGCGTAATATCACATGACCTCGGTGGAAATTCATGTTCAGCATTGAGACTTATTAGTCGATTTTGGAAAACTTCCCTCAACATATTCATCGTCTCGCCTGCCGTATGTGCCCTTGCGCCATCTTGTTGAAAGTAAAAGTTTGTAATTTCGTTTTCTTCCAGCTGGTTAACAAAAGGAGCGATAATTTCTTCTCTATACCTTTGCGCAGTAAGAGTACCATTAAAAAAAATAGGTCCATAAATCCTCCTTCGATTGAGAGCACACCAAACTCCAATTTTTTGAGCGTGTAGAGGGCCCTCGACAAAAAAGTTATCTGGTTTTTCAGAAGACCACATTCTCATATTCTGTGAGTTTACGTAACCACTTAAATGAAACCAGGCTTCATCAGAAAAAAAGGTGATATTATGAAGTTCACCGTAGTTGTTTAAAAACCATTCACAAAATACAGCCCGTCGCGGAAAATCAACTTCATGAAGTTCTTGCTGACAAGTTAAACGATAGGAGAACAAACGCAAATCTTTTTTTAACACTGTGTGGCAGGTACCGACTGATACTCCCACCATTTGTGATAAAACACGTACAGAAGTTCTTGGCGCATTTTCCATTATTTGTTGGACATTTTCTTTTAATTCTTCAGTCCGCTTTTTAGGTCGGCCGCTTCCTTCTTTTCTTGTTACACTGCCCGTTTCACGAAAAACATTAACACAACGCTGAACTGCACTTTGAAAAATTTTGTACTCAACAACGCCGGGAAATTGATTTTGAAATTCTATGAAACATTCCTCAATAGAATACTTCCATATTCCATCAATCTTGCGTCCATTTCTAAAGTAGGACTCTATGATAAACACTTTTTGTTCTTGAGAAAACACCATTTTAAACGCTTTTTAAAACGAAAATATTCAAATTGATAGCGGCGATATAGCGCTTTGACAGATGACGTTTAAGTTCATTTGTTATACGCTACGCCCTACGTCCAAATTTTCAGAACCAACTTGACCACGTTTTTATTTGAACGCTCGTTATATAAAAAAACAAAAATTAGTTTTCATTTCCATAAATTTGCCATTTCAAAGCAAAAAAAAGACTTAATTTTTAATCAGAGCATCTGAAATTCATAGCATAGCATAGCAGAGGTTTGCAAGTTTTCCTGAAATAGGGAAATTTCCCCAGAGTTAGCAACCCAAGTTAGAGGTCTTTTAATATCTCATAAGCCGCGAAATGCGCGAAAGGCGTGGCGTATCCCCATAATTCTTCTAATAAGCACGTTGTGAAAACATTTACTCAGAACTAGACCATGTGCATCATTACAAGTAGACATGAACTAAGGCGCTCGGGCATCAATAAAGTCAACTGGCGAACGTTCGTTATATATATTTTGATTGTTTAAATTAAAATAATAAAGAATAGGGCATTTTATTATATTTGTAATCGGATCAAAGGCTTGTTTACGCTAGAGCTCGAGAGAGATTGTGAATAATAGGTGTAATGTTTTTAGGACGTAGAATAATTTAGGCGACGATCGGAATTATGTTTCTGCGCATATGAAAGTCGAAGCTCATAAGTTTTAAAACATCTCTACAGAGCAGTGTTGTCAGCATTTCCATCCCCAGGTCGCCAACCGACCATCCAACAATTGCCCAACTCATGCCCAGAGCACAAAAAATTATTTTTAATTTAAACTATTCCAAATCTCTTTAAAAAACATATTTTGATATCTTCTATTCTACTTATATGTGTTTGAAATTTGTATTAGATATTTTTACGCTAAAGGTATTAATAATAGCTCAATTTATTTAACAA